TAGCTGGCTCTCAGCGGAACCCCAACAAAAGTATAATTTGTGCTTAGGAGCCCTCAGCTGAAGATTTAAACTTCAGAAAGGTAGACTGTAATCATGATACCAACAGTGTATCTTCAGTTGAAACAGAGGTAAAGGCAGTTGAGAGCAGAGAGAAACTAAAGAAGGAAAATTATGAGTCAGGAGAAAGATTCCCACAGTTGGGAGGCTGAACTCCCTCCTGATGGGCTATAGAACTATCTACCCATTAAGTTTCTGATTTTCTCAGGACCAGGAAGCAGGTACTTTTTTAGAAAAAAATCATACAGTGAACCAACTAAGAGAGGAATAGATACAAACCAAGCTTTTCATATAACTTGTAAAATACAGAATGTGTCCTTGATCCCTGTAAATCTTTATCCAGTTCAGCAAGATGTAAAACAGATTAAGACAATCACTCAGTCTGTCTTTAAACCCACTAAGTATCATTCTCCAAATAAAAGCAAGAGGTAGAAAATGAATTAAAAACCTTCTGATCAATATTTTTGGTACCCAACAGGTGCTTTCCCCAAACCATCAACTCATTGTTTCTGCTTTTCTTTTATGTACAAATTATCAGTCAAGTTTCTCCCTTGGAAAGTTCCTGACTCTGAGTGGTGAGGTTACATAATGTTATATTCTACCTGGAAGCTCCATTTTGTTGGCTCTCCAACTCTCACAGCTCCTTCTACAGAAATTCCTCTGGGAATTTAATAAGACCAGGAAAAGCTTCCACCTCCTGCTTCATTGGCATCTTCTGGTCTCTAAGAACAATTTTCCTTTCACCAGGAATTGAATTTCCTTTTGACACCCAAGACTATGCTGGTAGATTGCTTTGGAAGGAGGGTTAGAAAGTTATAAACCAAGACCTAGAAAGACATAGAAAAGTAAAAACAGGGGCTGGAGAGATGTCTCAGTGGTTAAGAACATTGGTTTGTCTTGCAGAAGACCCAGGTTCAAATCCCAGCGCCCAAATGGCAGCTAACAACTGCCCATAACTCCAGTCCTAGGGGATCTGACAGCCTCTTCTGACCTCTGTAGGCATTGAAAGACATGGGTGCACGCACTTACATGCAGTCAATATATGAATACACATAAAATAAATAATTTTAAAAAAGAAAAGTAAAAACAATATATTTTTATTATTAAAAGTTAATCCTTTAGTGAGTTCATCACAGAGATACCCTTACCATTCTGTTACAGAACTTAAAATATTTTGGGCTCCATCCCTTTACCCTAGGGGAGGAAGAGCACTCCCATTCTGACACTCACTGAGAACCAGATTTCATTTCTTGTTTGAATCCACACTCTCATTTTAGTAATAAAAGAAACAACTTCAATAACCATTCATCAACTTCTCTCCAGCCTTCTCTTCCAAAACAACACTACAGTAGTCTACTTTTTTGGGGGGGGGAGTCTTTTTTGAGACAAGGTCTCCCTGTAACCCCAACTAGCTTAGAACTCACTATGTAGACCAGGCAGGCCTTGACCTCACAGAGATTCACCTGCCTCTGCCTCCCGAGTGCTGGGACTAAAAGCATGCCCCACTACACCTGGCCTCTACATGTGTATTTTTATCAGGGCTGCAAAAAGCCTTGCTAAGAGAGAAAAGTGAGCATTCTCACTTTTTTATTATCGTTCTTCTAGTCACTTAATTGGAAATAAAATACCAAGGAAAAGAGCCTCAAGCATATTCATAAACCCAGTGTTCTATGTCAGTTGCATAAAACTACTGAGTGAAGTGTATTTTTATAATACTGTCTAAGCTGAATAAATGCTTCAACTCTTCAGTATCGGTGAATCCCAGTAAGTGATTTCAAAGTAGTTAATGCACCATCTTAGCCCATTAATTTCTAAAGAATTAAAAATAATTTTTGGAGTTTATTAATCTTCTAGAATGATTGTCATTTTGGCCATTTATATTACCCAATGAAATGTGTATCACTTAAAATACTGGTACCCTCTTAAAGTAGGCATTTCAACTTAATCATTTGTTTATATATGTTGCCCATTTGATCTTTATAGCAAAGATCTCCTTGGATGCATAAAACATGAGGGATTTTTAAATTTGGATACCTTTACCTAGAAACAGGAAGGGAAATTTACTTGGAGGATGAAAAAAGAATATTAAGGTGAAGCAGCTGTTTATTAGATTCTCAAAAATCTCTCCTTGGTGGAGCACTTGAGGGATCCATACAAGCACTGAGTTTGGTCCCCAGCACAAGGTCAGGGAGACTGTCTTCTCTCTGATGTAGAGAATTTGAGGTCCTTTCTAGTTTTAAATTTGAAAGGTCAAGCTCATGAACTCCCACTTTAAATGCCAGAAACGTGTTCTTTATTTCACACACAGTGGAGATGAAGACTTCAGTACTTGAAAGGAGACACAATACTGAAGAAGGGAAAGTCAAGCATAAGAAAACACTTCCAATTTAGATTTTCTAGAAGCTCACCTTCTGAAGTGGATATTTTATGATTTATAGTATGTGAGAGGATTATTAAAATGTTGCTTGCATGGACAAATGATGTTTTCTGGGAAGACAAACTTTGTATTTTCCAGATGATAACCAAAGCAAGCACAAAGGAGTGTTCTGTGGATTAATGACATGGATTCCCCCAACCCTTCTCCCCATTAATGCTTGCATTGCCTTTGTCAGGTTGTAGTTTGCACAATACCACTACTCTCTTATAGTTGCTTTTCTATTACACTTCCCAGTGTTTCTATCTGGGCCTTTCCTACTCTTCTTTTTGCTTCTTCTCTTAATTTACTTCAATACCTTGCCTCTAGTCTTGAACCTTAAGGTTTAGTTTCCAGATCTGAAGCAACTTTTTCAACATTTCTAACTTTCATTTTAAAGAAGTTATATAGGGAGGAGAGAGAGAGAGAGAGAGAGAGAGAGAGAGAGAGAGAGAGGAGAGAGAGAGAGAGAGAGAGAGAGAGAGAGAGAGAGAGAAAGGGCAGGAGGGAGAGGGGGTGCTAAGAAGGAATCAATGAAGCATCCAGGCATAAGAAAATTGGTGGTTAAATAAATACAGCTTCAGATTCTTACTTAGAGATATGTGAAGGCTGCCATTGCACTGAGCTCCTTCAACAGACTATTTGAAACTGTACAAACTTGCATAAGAGAAAGAACAACTTAAATTGAAAGGAAGCTACGGTTCAAGAAACCTTTTTTGAAATATCAGTAGCCAATCTGGAATCAGGTGAAGATGCTACAGATTCTGCAGTCATTTTTTACCTCCAGCTCCACCTTAATCTCAGGCAGGGGTTCTGTCTGATCAAGACAGTTAACTTGCTGGGAAGATGGCTAGAAGAGAGGGGACTCAAAAGAAGTGAACTGCATAGGAAACTCCCCCTGCATGTTGCTGTGTCCTTTCTTCTCTGGCAGCGGGCACAGGCAGGGAAAGACAGTAGTGCTTTGCAGTCCTCTAGCAGCCCTCCTGGGATCCAGAGAGGTCTCAGAGCTGCAAAAGTGTCAGACTAAGGAACAGCTACTCTTTGTCAACCCTTGATATACTCGCTTTGAGGTGCAGGGACCTAGATTGTCCCCTCCTTAAATCCTGGTTCTGCCTCTTGCCCTTCACCCAGTAAACTATACAATCGGATTTATACTAACTCTGATTGTCTACTTGAATTGCAGAGAGTGAGGGTGAGAAACGAGGAGTTGTCTGTACCACTCAGAGGCCTTTCTTTTCTTAGGAATAGAGAGCTGAACAGAGAAAACCAGCCCTAGAACCCCCAGCATCATTGTGTTGTAGCCCGTGTGGAAAGAGTCAACTCTAGGGCTGTTAAAGACCTCAAGTCATTAGCATCAGCTGCTGCTCTAAAGGGCAAGCCAAAGTCTCTAAGTGGCTTAGCACACAAACGAGGCTCCCGAGACGGTCTCACGCTTGCAACCCCATCCACTCCTCCATCACGGACTGGACTGGACTGGAAAAGCTCTTGAGAGCCCCTCTCGGTAATATTTTTTTTTTTTTTACTTTGAACCATCCTCCCTTTAGCCCGAGGTCGAGGTCTTACAATCCCGGCCGTCGCCCCCATTATGAGACCCATTAGAGACTCTGCAGAATACAAAATGCCGAGGATGGAAAGCTGTTAACACCTGAGTCCGACTTGGACTCTTCCCCGAAACACTCCCTCAGTCCACTCCCTCTCCTATCCTCAGTCCTGGGACCTGAGGACTACATAAATCCCTTTCGGAAATCTGGCGGCTTCCCATATTTATCTCTTCGCCCAATCTCCCAGGGCAAGGGAGGATTCAGCCACGTTCCCACCTTAGAGTATCCCTTCCGAATTTTACTCCTGAGACCTTGCTGGGTGGGTGAGTGCTCCTGAATGGGGCTGAAGCCTGAGTATCACCCCGTTGGCCGCTAGCTTCCCAGACCAGCAGAGGCTCAATGGCCAGAAAAATCCCTTGGGACTAATCCTCATCCTTTCTCTGGTCCACAGCACTCAAACTCTGGGGATATATGCGCGTGGTCCACGCGCCCGATACATAGCCAGCTCCCTGTCCTAGGTCCTCCAAGTACCTAGCAGAAAAGAAAAGGGTTGCTCTACTCCTGTTGGTACCTTCCTTCCAGAGCCTGAAACTGATTTTGCCATCCCAGTCCCAGAGGCCCAAGCTTCAGAAGCAACTCCAGAGAGGCATCACCGCTCTGGGAAGGCGCTCAGGATTTGCGAGGCACGGGCAAGCCAGGAGAAAGCTTCAAGGCTTGTGTCGCCGTCGCCGAAGGGAGCTCCCAGACCAGCAAAGAGTTAAAGGGAGGGGACGTGGGCTGTCACGCGTCATTGGGCAGATTATGTGCAGCAAACAAAAAGTGTGTGTCTGCGTGCCAGTCAGTCACTGCAACGGGTCCATCTGTACAACTCTCCTCTCTCTCTCTCTCTCTCTCTCTCTCTCTCTCTCTCTCTCTCTCTCTTTCCTGTTTAAAAACCAAACATTCTCTTCCCCCTCATCTTTCTATCTCTGTCTTTTCTCTCTTTAGACAGAACCTGTAAGACAGCAACACCGACACCCCTTGACATGGGAACACACTGATATAACGGGCAAACGACGAAACACTGGACTTCATCTCCCGGTTCCAGGTGGCCTTATTTGGGCGACTCGATCCTGACCTTATTTCTGGTAAGTCTCTTTGCATTGACGTGGGAGGGGGATGGGAAGAAGGCAGATTTAGTGGAAAGAGTGGAAAACTGTGTCCCCCCCCCCTCCTCATTATCCAGAAGACGGGGAAATGATTGCAGTGTTATCTCTACTGCCAATAAGAGTATACAAAGGGAGGAGTGGGTGGAAGCACTTTGTCCGGGAAGCTAGGGAGCGCGCAGCCGCCAGACAATGCCTGCCCGGAGCCGCGGGCAAGCAGCGGGCAGCAGCGACTGGCTTTCAGCGAACCCTGCCGGCTCTGGGTTTCCAGGAAGGATCTGCCCAGGAAGAGAACGCAGGGCCTTGAGCCAGGCGTAGGACAGTGAAAGGCTGGATCGTAGAGGCAGGTAGAGCCAGCTAAGGTTCTTGTTCAGCAGTCATTGTGACCGGTTTGAGGCTCCAGGCAGCCACCGCGGACTGCTTTTAGCCCAAGCTTAGGACCTTTTAGCTGTATTGTTAGGTAGAACTGCATTTTAATGACTGCGTCCCTGCTGTTGCCCCGAAGTGAGGGAGATCTCCTGGCACAATGGAACACGTGTGTGAAAGAGACTTTTAAAAGGAAAATAGGAATTCAGATATAAAACGTTAAACAGGAGGAAACTGTAAAAGAGAATAGGATTCTGTTGAAAGGGATTATGAGATCCCCTATATTGCAGTGCATTTTAATTTACAACTGGAAATCAAAATGGGATGTGTCTTGGACACAGAGTGTAGCATGATAAACTTTCTATTTTATGAACATTTTTCTTATTCTCACTGGAAAATACAGTCCAACACTTGCTATTTGGGGCATACAGGAGAAAGAATGGGAAAGAGGCTGTCCAAAGTTTCAGGCATTACCCTGTGAATCACATTTGGAAGATTAACTGGCTAGTAGACACTAAGATAAAAATAGACATTAACCATATTATTCTTTAATGAACAGCCCTATAGGAAAAGAATAAGGTCTATTATCTCTGCTATTTAAATTGTATAAAATATAGATGAATTACTGACTGGTGAAAGTATTAGAGAAATAATCAACTTAGTGGAACCTTTCATCAGTCAGGAAAAACAATGTGGCTAATTCAAAGCTAGTTTAAATATTTTAAAATATTGCTTTCTTTATGTACTAAGTTTTGCAAGGTGTATCCAGTGGCTGAGGAAGGAAAATGTCCCTGTATGACAGCTTAATAGACAGCCCTCCACTGGGGCTTTACCTTCTAAATTGCTGTGGATTAAACAGCTGGAGGGCCCACTAAGGACCATTCAAGCAGGGCTGCCCCCTCTTGCCCAAACAGGGTGGTATCTGGGGAAGTGAGAATTCACCAGTCATTACACACAGTATTTCAGACAGGGGACATTTCAGGCCTGCCCTATACCTGCTCGCTTCATGGGCCACATGCGACTCAATACACCCTCTTGTATAACAAGGTAACTGGGATTCAACCTCATCCATAAATAAGCATGTCGAGAAAAAAATAATTACCTCTGCTTGCTTCTTTTAATTAAAGCCTCGGAGGGACAGCGTTGGATTATGGTAATAAGCAGACACGAGTCCCTTCTTGTAGGCTGCAGAGAAAGGTTAGCTGACACGGAATTAGTGGCCCTGACACTCCACTTGAAATCCATTCGCTATGCTCCACTGTCTCTGCCTGCTAGCTAAGACTGCTCCCCTCTTTGGAAGAAAAAAGGAAATCACCTCCCAAGCACCTGGCTCAATTCATAGGACAGGCACTTTCCCCAAAGGCTTAGAAGGTTTTTGTTTTTTATTTTTTCAGGCAGAAAAAGTCTATATATGCTGTTCAAAAATTTAGTCTCCCCCACCTTCTTCCCTAAAGCCTTTCTGCATCCTTAAGGTAGCGCAAAAATGACCTAGTCTTTACAAGCTCTTATTTTCTCTCTCATACTGGAAGTGCGCTCCCAATCTTCCATTTCAATTATTTAAAAGGAAAGGATAATACCCCTAAGTTGGCATCTTTAAAACATGCCAGACTGATCTGCTTTATTTTTAAAGTAGAAGCTATGCAAAATCGCGGGCAAGTGCAAAAAAAATATATCTGGTGGTGGAAATGCTGCCGGAGCTCACAGCAGTAAAGGCAGTAACAACTCACTTCTTGTCTTCTGTATCTGTCTCCAGTCATGGAGGATTCAGGCATTCAGAGAGGCATCTGGGATGGAGATGCCAAGGCTGTCCAACAATGTCTGACAGATATTTTTACCAGTGTATACACAACCTGCGACATCCCAGAGAACGCCATATTTGGTCCCTGTGTTCTGAGCCATACTTCCCTGTACGACAGCATAGCTTTTATAGCCCTCAAGTCCACGGACAAGAGAACAGTACCTTACATCTTCCGGGTAAGTCTCAGCTGCTGTGGTGAGGTGTTGAGAGGGTAATGTCCTGTTCAAAATGAACAAAGACTCATCCCAAGGACAAGTAGAAACAGGTTCTGAAAGGAAAAATAAATGTGACAATTCAAGCAAGTACAGCTTATATGCCAAAAACTAGAAAAGAAATATTAAACTTAAATTATCATCAACTGATTTTCTCAGATAAATGACAAAATTGACTTCAAATGCTGGTGATGTCCAAGTCTTTACCTTCATTCAGAGTTTTCCTGTTGACAAGGACTTCCTAAATCTATAGGGAGATTACACTGGGGCTATTTGCATATTAAGTACTTCCTGTGAGTACTTTTACAAATATCGTGTATATTTGCTTTCTACTTTAGGAGGTCTCCTCATCTCCTAACTATTGCTTTCTTTGGTAACATTAGCTAGTGTCCAGAGTTTGTATATAAATTAAAATGTTAACTATTTTGACAGCAAAGCATCATTAAATCCACGTTTGAGTTGGAAGATAACAGACCTCTCATGTCCTATTATGAAGAAAAACTGTTAATCCTTCAAACCACAATTAGAAAGATGCCTGTGCCACAGAGTAATTTCTACGAGTGACACTTTCCTTTTACTTCAGAGACAAAATTCCACTTACTTTTGTAATGTGAGATAACTGCGAAGGCAATTCTGAAGTATTTTGTACAAGATATTTCCTCACTTAGAATTTAACCAATGTATGAAAACAGTGACTTAAATAACACATATGTTTGATGTAATGTTTCCAAGGACGGTTTTCTTGACTATTGGCTACAAACATGAGGTTGTATGATCCGACTATCATCAAGCTTTGGAAACAACGTGGTTTCAGATCATTGTTTTGGGGGGAACACTACCGGAAGAAACGGCCCTAGTTCCTCTGGTTTCAGTCTCTCACGTGGGCCTCCCTCCCCCCCCCCTTCTTGTCTTTCTTAAAAACTGTAGGTAGACACTTCAGCGGCAAATGCTTCTTCCGAGGGTCTCATGTGGCTGCGGCTGGTCCAATCAGCCCGAGATAAGGAAGAGCAGAACCTCGAAGCCTATATAAAAAACGGACAGCTGTTTTACCGCTCTCTCCGCAGGATTGCCAAAGACGAGGAATTACTAGTTTGGTACGGAAAAGAACTGACCGAGTTACTCTTGCTCCGTCCCTCTAGATCCCACAACAAAATGAATGGTAGGTTGGCTTGGGACCTGCTTGGGGGCCCTTCGCTAGGTCGGGAAACGGGCAGAGCGCCTCTGGGGCTCACCCAGGCGCGTTGGAGCGCCTTTCTTCCCCTTGGGTATCTCATAGGAAGCTTTTGAGTTGTAGTCTAGGATGAAGCTGGGACAGAGGTAGGAGGAAAAGTTGGGGCACACCTAGTATGATAAATGTCCTTCTCCAAATCAGGAGGAAAAGTTGGACCAAGTCGGATAGTGTATTCTACCCAGGCGCTCGGGCCAAGAAAGATAGAGTGGATTTGTGACGGGGATGATGGCAAAGTAGCCTGGGGGCGATGCTGAGTAACCATGTGGTGTGCATGTGTGTGGTGTTTGCTCACTAAGCAGGGTCGTCCCCTTACTCATGCCTGGAATGCAGCCAGCGTTTCCAGTTTGAGTTCCCGTACGTGGCGCATCTGCGTTTCCGCTGCCCCAAGAGACTTCACAGCATTGATGTGAGTCCCCAAGATGAGCAAGGCGGCGGCGTGGGCAACAAGGACCACGGGGGTGGCGCCGGTGGCAAAGAGCAGCAGCCGCCGCAGCAACAACAGCCACAACAGGAAGCGCCTTTGGTACCGGGCCCCAAGTTCTGCAAAGCCGGCCCCATACACCACTACCCGGCCCCGTCTCCCGAGGGCGGCAATTCAGCCGCCGCCGCAGGTGGTGGCAACGCCAAGCCATCCACGGACTTTCACAACCTGGCCCGGGAACTGGAAAACTCCCGGGGAGGCAGTAGTTGTTCGGCGTCTGCCCAGAGTCTCAGCGGCAGCAGCAGCAACTTAGGCCACCAGGAGGCGGAGCTGAGTCCCGACGGCATAGCCACAGGCGGCTGCAAAGGGAAGAGGAAATTCCCCGAGGATGCTGCGGAGGGCGGCGGCGCCGGGCTGGTGGGCGGCCGCGCGCACTTCCCCGAGCGGCCGCTGCCGGCCTCCAAGGAGGACCTGGTGTGCACGCCGCAGCAGTACCGCGCCGCCGGCAGCTACTTCGGCCTGGACGAGAACGGCCGCCTCTTCGCGCCGCCCAGCCCGGAGACAGGCGAGGCGAAGCGCAGCGCCTTCGTGGAGGTGAAGAAGGCCGGCCGCGCGGCTGGCCTGCAGGAGGAGGCGGCGGCGGACAGCGCGGGCGGAGCCCCGGAGGACCCGGACGCAGGAGGCGGTGGCTCGTCCACGCCCGCGGCGGCGTCGCCCGGGGGCGCCGAGAAGCTGCTGGGCCCGCGTCCCGGAGCCCCGCTGGCCGGTCGACTGGAGGGCGGTAGCCCCGCGCGGGGCAGCGCCTTCACCTCGGTGTCGCAGCTCGGTGTCGCGGGCGGCGGGGGTGCGGCGGGGGGGGGGGGGGGGGGGGCCGGGGGCGTCGCAAGAGCGCTTTCTCACAGCCCGCGCGCTCCTTCTCCCAGCTGTCGCCCCTGGTACTGGGCCAGAAGCTGGGCACGCTCGAGCCGTGCCACCCTGGCGACGGCGTGGGCACCACCAGACTCTACCCCGCCGCGGCGGACCCGCTGGCCGTGAAGCTGCAGGGCGCGGCGGACCTGAACGGGGCCTGTGGGCCGCTGCCGAGCGGCGGGGGCGGCCTGCCCAAGCAGAGCCCCTTCCTCTATGCCACGGCCTTCTGGCCCAAGAGCTCGGCTGCGGCGGCGGCAGCGGCGGCGGCGGCGGCCGCGGGGCCCCTGCAACTGCAGCTGCCCTCGGCGCTCACGCTGCTGCCGCCCTCCTTCACCTCGCTGTGTCTGCCGGCGCAGAACTGGTGCGCCAAGTGCAACGCCTCCTTCCGTATGACCTCCGATCTGGTGTACCACATGAGGTCGCATCACAAAAAGGAGTATGCGATGGAGCCCCTGGTGAAGCGGCGGCGGGAGGAGAAACTCAAGTGCCCCATATGCAACGAGTCTTTCAGGGAGCGTCACCACCTCTCCAGGCACATGACCTCGCATAACTGATGCAGACGGGACCCTGGCTTTGCAAGCGCGTGCATGCACAGTCGAGCCACCTGCAAGAGCAAACACGCGAGGACATCCACCACGTCTTTAGGCCCTACACTCCAACCGAGCACATAGGCACATACACTCGTCCCTTCCCCCACCAGGAGCCTTCTCATTAAAAATGTTTAACCCGGCGCGCACGTGCCAACACACACACACACACACACACACACACACACACACACAGAGGACAGGATGGTGGATCTTGGATGGGGTGGGTTGTTTGAGGGGGGTTTCTTTTGAATGCACGCATTTTCACTTTCCCAAAAACAAAAGTACATTTTAAAAAATGTCATATATTGCAACATATTGATGCATTTGTCATACGTTTCTACTTAAATTATTAAGCACTTAACTGTTTAGATGTAATAATTATATGTAAGGACAAAATTTATTTTAGATATAAAGTAATGGAAGGAGGTGAGATGCTTTCTGCATTTCCTGATGACAGCTGTGTTCTTACAAAAATAAACAAAACGAATAAAAAGGGGGTGACCATTCAATTTCAGGTTCCAGGGGAAAGTGCATGTATCATGAAATAATTATGGACTTCAATGAAGAAGGTCATCAATTATGTAAATATGTATTTCCTTTTAATACAAAGTGTAATTTTGTGCCAGTGAAATGGAGTCTGAATAGTTATGTGTTTCTTTTATCCCTGGAAAGATTTATTAAACTTTATAGTTTATCCGGGTATGTTGGATGCTTTGACAATAAATGACTATTTTCTTCAAAGCAAATACTTGGAAAATTTTTTTTAACATTTTCTGCAGGTCAGTGCTATGCTTTGAGTAGATAACCTGTTTTCAATAAGTTCCTGAAAAGAAGGGAAGAGGTAGTAGAAGAGAAGGGTAATAAACCTGTCTCCTTTGTACTTATTTACTACTAGCCAATTTTGAACCTAAAAGAAGATTGTGTTGATTATCACTTGGAAAATCTTTAGCTGGAAAATGTTGGGCTTTTTGATCAATAGCAAATCACTTAGAGGAAAAGCTGCAATACAGCTCACCTGTAACTGGGATGCCTGCATTCTTTTCAGCAACAGGATAATGAACATCTCCATAAATGGCCAAAAATCTTTAGTATTACCTCTGGGAGAACAGACAAAAGGCCCACTTTGCTTCCTAGTGGTGATGCTTTACATGGGGGAGTATCTTATACTGTAGCATCTTCAGTATTCTGCCATCCATTAAAAGACACTGAAGAGAATTTACCTAGAAATCAGATTTCAAAGATCATGGGCTGATGGTTGTCTGTGTACAGAAGGGCCCAATTTTCCTTTTCAATGCTTCAACACCTTCACAACTGTGGGGATGGGAAGATTAAGCCTGTGACACTCTAATTCTGAAGAACCAACTACTTCTCTCCTTTCTAATTCTTATAATTGTCCCTTCCAGGACAAAAGCACTCTGCCCTCTTCAGCGACTGTCAAAGTTTCTATATAGCTGTTTGTGGTATGTACTGTAGCACTAGACATAAAACCAAATGGCCAGTGTTCTTTCAGGTCTAAAGAAGCATTCTCAGAATCCACTGGTGTCTCCATAACCATTCTGTGATGCCCCAGGAATAGACAAGCACTCACATTTCTCAAGGGCATGAACTGTCTCATCTGCCCCCTCCTTTCACAGGCTGTTGCTCTTCCTCTGTGTCTGAAGGATATTTGTAGACAGATCTCAGGTGGGGAATTTAAATTTACTCAAGGTCTCCTTACAGGCTTTCCAATAACCAAAAGTCTATTGCTTTAAGGCCACCAGAAAACAGGTTCAAGTAGCAGGAGTTGGAGCAGGTACCAGGCAGGTGTGGGGCAAATACAATTACCCATACAGTGTGACCAAATTTATGAAAAAGGTTGGCTTCCTTAGGATTGCACAAATGTGTGTGTGTGTGCGCGCGTGTGTGTGTGCGCGCGTGTGTGTACTCAGGACATTTCTTTGAGGCCTGCTTTCAATTTTCCTAGGCAATAGTTTGATGGTTTTACCGCCCCCCCATGTCTGAAATCTCAGTTGTACCTCTCCTACTTTTGTCTGGTGTGACTCTGTATCATTGCCGGGATCATTTGTATCATCTGCATCATTGTTCACATACCTGCAGCTTGCTTTATCATCTGTAAAAAGAATGAAACATGTTTTGGTATCTTTAAATTACTTCTAGCACTAAAGAATCACCCCCCCACACACACACACCACCAATGAACCAAGCAATTGAACTTAAAAGGGTATTTCTAGAAAAGGACTAAGATTGGTTGTAAAGCAAGAGCAGAGTTTAGGGGTGAATGGAAAATGGGCTTTAGGAGCTGCTTAAATCACAGTATGTGACAGACTAAAATGTCTATGCTCAGGACAATAGTGGATCCCAGAACACAATTCTATTAAAAACAAGCAGGACGTCTTGGGAACTAACTTTAGGAAAGAAAAAAACTCCTTGAGTTCACTTCACCTCTATCTGATCCTTCTGGAATCTCCCACTATCAGTGGGAATTCAGACAGAATGAACTGTCTGGGAAAAGCTAACTAAATGCTACTCTTTAAAATGGGTTTTCTCACAGAGTGGGACCAGCTTTCTGAAGGATACATCCGGACTTGATAGTCTCTTTGTTTTCTTTTACCTGGTCACTATCTTAATCATACAATCAGGAAGAAAGCCAAGCAATGGCTGAGCTAGCGCCCAGGCGATCCAGGTAGGTGTGTTCTTGGCTTGAGTGCGGGTGCTGGGCTAATCTTTCGGCTCACAGACCATTTTGGCGGAGGGAGTAGGAAGGGATCGCCAAAGCTAGTTTTACTGTTGGCCAAAGCAAACTCAGAACTGTTTTATTTTAATGTAGCATTGTCGCGCTTTTGGATGCATTGTATCCTTTTCTGCATCTAAACCTTCTCAAAGGAGAGTTTGTAGAATTCCAAACTCGGGCTGGCTGAGGTCGTTGAAGCTGTGTTAATGCCTGCACACAGCTGCGGAGGAAACAAGGTCACAGGGCCACGCAGGCACCAAGACAAGCTGGTTTCGCACAATCGGTGCCAGGTGTCCCAAGCTTCCAGGTCAAGCAGGTGGCCCGAGCTTCTCTTGCTGGAAAAGCAGGTCAGAAAGCCAACAAGTTGTTTCATCTGCATTTGTTGTATCTCAGTCCCTGGAATAATGCCTGGAAGTGACTAGGCACCTGGGGTCTGTGAGTCTCTCATTTGTCTACCTTTCTGAGTTGTTTGTGCGTGGAGGCGCCCATATGTTACAGGGGCTGCAGCGCGCCCCCACAGATCTGCCGAACCAGAGAGGCCTGGAAGGGACGAAAGCATAATCTGCAGTTCATAGGCACTAGAGAGCGAACTCCGAAACGGACTTGTATGGGAAAGTTCCCGACTTCCAGAAGTGCTATGTTGGACCTTGCAGCCCTAATACTGTGTGTGGCCGTCAGTCGCTGTGGCTTGGGCAATCCCAGGTGTGTGGCCCTGGTCTGGGCATCTGGTACCGGTTGGGTGATGTGGGCTCCTGTCCTGGCCCTTGAATTACCTGATCCCTGTTTAACTCCTTTCCTGGCAGCGTATCTCTTTGGATGCCCCGCCAGCAAACCTGAACTCTAGCAGGAAATTGTTGAACAAGCACCAGTAACGTCCAACGGGTCTGAAAGTGCCATTTCCCCCGCTGTTCCTCTTCCTAGGACAGAAGACCCAGGGCAGCCTAGCTTCTCAACCCACCGAATTCCCTCTCCCGCCAGCTCTCAGTCTGCCTCTCGCTCAGTCGGCAGGGTTCCCACGCCTGCCCGGTAGGTGCTGCAGGCCCAGGGGAACGAGAAGTGCAGCCCGCTCACCACACAGTTCCCGGCACACCAACCGCCCAGCGGGAGCGACAGCTGGCACCTGCCTGGAGGGTTTAGGTTTCCTCCTTTCTTTTATGTCGCTCAAGCTCAGGTTCTACAATTAAGAGGGCTGATTCTCTGCTATCTCCTGCTTTCCACTCACCCGGAATCTCTTCATCTCTTTTGTGGGCTTTCCATCTCAGTGCAGGTTTTCCTTCTTTCCAGCAGTTTTGTGAGGAAAATTCCCAGGAACCTCTGCTACTTAGGCAATTAATCCCAGCAGCCCATCTGAAGACTGCACTGCCCATTACCCACCCTTGAGTTTGAAGAAATGGGCCACCATCCCAACACACACATACACACACACACACACACACACACACGCACGCACGCACGCACGCACGCACACAAAAATGCACACGCACAAAATTTTAAATATAAATTGAATGTTTGCACAACTATTAAAAAGAAAAAAAAATGTACTCTTGTGGAAGGGATCTTCAAAAAAGTATTACCTGCATTTCATTGTCTTCCACTAAAGGAGGTTCAAGGGGATGTAGAAAAGTGAGTACCTACAAGCTGAGCTGTGAAAGGGCCAGGAAGCTGGGGCATCTTTTTTTCTCCCTTCAAAATCATTTTGGATATCAGGAGGGGTAGTGAGGCCCCAAATGTTGAGTCAGAAACACATATCCCACTTGGTGGGCCTGACTGAATGCTTTCTGACTTTGGATCCTGGATAGGCCCAGAGAAGCAGATTACAACTTCACTTTTCCCCATTTTAGACTGAGAATGAAGAGCTTTCTAGAACTACATCCATTCTACAGGACTTGTTGATGAAGAACCTGAGGAAAACATTCTGAAAATTATTATTTTTAATCTTAGGATGTGCAGCTTGAACTAATGTGTTATGCTAATTATTTACTTATTTTCTTTCAAGTTGTGTTTGTATCTACAGTACTTAAGCAACTTTGCACACATGCCCATATATACACAAATATGTGTGTGTGTGTGATATACATCAACTCTACACAGAGATTTTAACACATACTCAGGCACACAACTGGCAGGAGATATTTTAAATATTTTTCCTATGCTGATTGAATTTTCTCTACGTCCTTAAGAGGAGAGCACCTAAGGCTCCCAACTTCCTCATGTCCCCTGGAATAAAGCAGAAATGAGTTTCACAAAAGAAATACAGAAATCACTTCTATCTTTAGCCAAGATCTTTGTACAAACTGCTTCTGGGGTCAAAATCTGAATCAGTGTTCTAGCATTAGACTTTCTCTGGACTGTACCAGTGTCACATCGTTGCCCATGTGACTGGAACTGCCCCTTTTGGTGTTTTGTTACTTTCTTTTGAAGTGTAAAGCTATTTTTGAAGAAGCATTTGATGACTTCTTTCCTCTGAAATAAGTAAATTAAGATGTTTTCCCCTCTGGCAAGATTTTCACTGAGTCTTTGAAAAACACAAATGTAATCAAACAGCGACACCAAGCCCAGAAATCCATGTGCGTTTTCTAACTGGAGAAGCCTTAGTATCCTTACTGCTCATTCTTTCTGCAGGCCCAAAAGTGGGCGAATGAAAACAAAGGGGAGATGATGTAGTGCAGTGTCTGCCCCAGAAAGAGTACAGTTAGCGTTCTGGGAGGGGCAATTAACTTTTCCATTCAAATGTTCCCCCAGAGAGTGCAAGTTAAGCCATTTGCTTTAGAAAGAAGGCCTAGACAGAAATAATACATGTGTGAAAACTTATCTTCAGGGACATTTAATCTGCTGGCTTAATCCCACCTCAAAAGACCCCCCATTTTCTGCTGCTTTCACTGTTAGGCGGTTTAGATCTCCCTCAGCAATGAGGTAGTCTCCAAAATTCCCACCTTTGTGAATAAATAGCTAGGACAAAAGTTTGAATTTACATGGGGCTGTTTCTTTTTAATTTGCATTTTAG